CATCGGTTTTTGCGACACCAGAATGAGCGGGCTGGCTTCTCCTCCCCCCCCCACGCCCTATCGCTACCTCGCGGAATGCTCGGCTCAAGTCCGGGTATCGCGGCGCCCCATCCGGTTGCGAGGCACCCGCAAGCGCCAACCCCACCCGCGTTGAATCGCAGCCGTCGGATCCCGTCGGCCAGTCGGCGCTCGCCTCCACCTTTGTGCCCCGCTTGTCGGCGGGCCCGACTGGGAGCTCACCTCTGAAGGCGTACAAGTTGCCGACGTCGTCGGAGGTGATGGCGTCCAGGTGAACGTGGCTGCATCTCTCTCGCTCCACGATGTCGGTTTCCTCGCCTGCAACAGCGCGCAGCCTGAGGACGCCGTCGCCGCCGCACCGACGGCCGCTCGCCGGAAAGCTCGCGTGAGGACGAGACCCGCTTACTGTAGTTGGAGCACCTCATGAAGAAGTCGCGGGCCTCCTTGGGGTACCTGCCGTGCACCTCTCCGGTCTTGGGATCGAATTTGGAGAACTGGTGTCCGTGGAAGCAGTAGTAGTGCTCCATGTAGCGGAAGGCCGACGTGCAGTTGGGCATGGTCTTGAACTCTCGGTGCTCCACGGCCTGGTTGCCCACGTGGAAGTGGTAGATCTCGTGTTCTGTCGGGCGGCGGCGGGAGTCGATGAACGTTTGGAGAAGCGGATTCGGACGCCGGGCGCGAACCCACCCTTGAAGAAGATGACTTCGTTCTCCTCGCAGTCCGGCTCGGGGCACACGACGGCGGCGTCCACGTGGTCCGGGATGCCCGGGAAGACCTGGGAGATCAGCTTGGGGAAGCCCTCCTCCAACTTGTGCTTGTAGTAGGCATACACCTTGTTGTCCTGGAGGCAAAGAAAGCCGACGTTTGTCACGCCGGACGCCGGGCCGGACCCTCGCTCGCGACGCGGACGCACTCGTCGCCGAGCTGGCTTTCGCCCCGCCGTCGTTTTGCGCAATGTCGGGAAAGATTAGCCCGCGCGTACCACGAAGAAGTAGAGGTGGTCGTGGTCGGAGGCGTTCTCGTAGTGCATCCGGAAAGCGGCGTCGAGGTGCTCCAGAGGATGGTCGGCATCGTCCAGCTCGGGGAAGGATCCTTTGAGCAGCTCCGCTTTGCCGTGGAAACCCTTGAACAGGTAGCGGCCCTTAAAGAAGAAAGGCATCCCCTCCTCGCTGACCGTCACCGCGTCCATCTCCAGACCCAGGCAGCGGTCCGGGACATCTGCGCGCATTGTGAGAAGACCACAAGTGACTCGAGGCGCCCCTGCCGCCGCCGCCGCTCCGCTCGGGAACATTTGCGGCCAGCCATCCCCCAAAAAAAAAGATGGCGGCCTGTCCTGTTTCAACCAAGCAAGCTTCTTTCGTTCGAGGGGACCTGCGGCACGGGCAGCGGCGACGACGGCGCCGATGACTGAAATGTCAAGAGTACTTCCGGTGACCAAAAACGGTTGTCTCGCGAATAACGGCCGATTCCGAAGCACTCGCCACGCGAAAACCTCTGAAAGGGACTCGCTTGGTTGAGTCAACCATATGCCAACACGGTCAAGAGGATGAAGAAGGAGAAGACGGAGACGGAGACGGAGACGGAGGCTCACTCACACACATGGTCGTCGTCGCTGCGGGAGGAAAAGGAAGACGTGTCACTTGGCGTTTTGGGAAAAGGTCCAAAGTCGAGGCCGTCCGACGAGGAGCGGAGAAATACCGTCCGCGCCGGACGGTCGACCGCAGGTCATCGTGAAAGTCTGCCTTTCGAGGCCGACTCGTCACGTTTTGCTCTTGATCGCAAATTGTTTGGAGAAACGCGCGCATTGGTTTGCACTTCTCCGCCACGATTCGACGAATGCGGCAAAGAAAAAAAAAGTGCGCACTCGTACCATACATATGGAAGTTGAGAGGTTCGTAGTTTTGTAGTGGGTAGCTCTACTTTAAAAATGGGCAAAAGGAGCGATGGAATCCTTAGAAGGCAGCTTTTTATTTTCCGCCGTCTGCACTTCCGCACGAACGAACGAGAACACACCCCCTTCCGGTAACACAAAACACTTCCTGGTTTGCTTAACCAATCAGATAATATCAACATAAACTTGTTGAAGCAATTATTAAACGGAATATAACCTAGGTAAATGTAACACAAAAGAATATAATGCTCAAATATAAAATGAAAATAATTAAGGATTTAACATAAGCGTACACTCTTGATCACAAATTGTTTGGAGAAACGCGCGCATTGGTTTGCACTTCTCCGCCACGATTCGACGAATGCGGCGAAGAAAAAAAAGTGCGCACTCGTACCATACATCTACAAAAACAAAAGCGGAAAATGGTCCCCCAAACGCTTGAAATGTCTCGCCAACGACTCTTGGCTTTGGAAAAGTGTGTTCCCAGCCGAAGCGAACTGGAACAAGTGGCAGCGGCCACTGACACTGACGCTCGCGAATACTTTTAGGCTTTTGGTGCCATCTTGCGGCATCCCGGAAAAGCTACAAAAACACGGAACAAGCGAGGCCGGGGCGGGGGCGAAAGTGCTACGGAGGGAAATGAGCGAGTTGGTGAGGGGTTTGGCGCAGTCTTTCGCAAAGAAGAGCTTCGGGTGCTCCGAGGAGCATTTTCTCGTTCTGCCCGTTGCGAGACGTCGAAGAGCAAAGGCGCATTGGTTGTCCCGTGGAAAACCCAAGTTTAGCCTCAAACAGCAGCAAAAAGCGATCGTTTCAGTGTGCCGGCGGCCGGAGTTGCGCCGAATGCCAACCGGAGCGCCATCTTTAGACCGAGGTACAAATGGGAGCGGGCTTTTGGAAATTCCGCCCGACGACAGAAGAGGCGCGCGCTTTGGCACTTTTGCCATTGTAACCGGTCAGCCGATCGAAAGCCTCGGACCGAAGACTTACTGGTCGGCCCACGCCGAGGCCAAGCACAGGCACAGGACAGCGGAGAGCAGGATCTTCATGACGGCCCGACAAGAGCGAGAATGACCCGAGGTGGCGACTCGACGGGCCGCGCCGCCATTTATAGGATCAGGCCGGGAGCGGGGGGGAGCCGGACCCGTTCGATCGAGAACGCCGTGTTCCCAAGATGCGCCCACGTGGACCCGCGTGGACCCGCTCGACCCCGACAAAGTTTGGAGCGCAAGCACACACGCTCCCTGATATCCTTTGCGGCGAGCGGCCAGTGGCCTTCGCGCGCCGCACGTGTCTTCGCTCGCCGCGGCAAGTGTCCCCAAGTCACTCGGGTGCAGTCGTGGGACCGACGTGGACACGGGTCAAACCGGGCCCAGAGGCTTCGCGAAGGCCCGCGCGGAGAGGTGACTAACCCGGTGAGCGAGCGGGTCACGCATACACCGGCCCTTGTATAACGCGCCCGGACAGTGAACATTAACAGAATTTGTTTGTTCCCGAGGCCGGCCACATTGGTCAACAATCAGAAAATCAACCTGATCAAAAAAACGGAACGCACTTGAATATTGTCCTTCATTTGGCTCGCTCAGATTTGTTGGCTATGCGGCAGATTCGGCGAGGCCGACTACTTGTTGCCCCCTGTTCTCCTCAACGGTCACTTCGGGATCCCTCTTGTGTACCGTGACCCATTTTGTTGCTCGGCAGTGCGTCTGGGACTCGCCCCGTTCGAAACAAGATTGCAGTTTTGCGGGCTTCCTGGTTTTTGCTTCCCCAGGCCCCTTGTTGCTGGGCAAAATTCGGCGGGCCGACTGCCTTTGCCCCGTCGGTGACCTGTGTCGGTTTCGGCCAATAGGACACTCGTCGGACGCTCGCATTTGGAGAGGACACTGGCTTTGCCCCATGTGACACTTGGTTCTTGGGCGTTTTGACAACGTGCTCATTTTCCTTCCAAAGGGCCCTCAGCTCGCTTGGCTTTTGCACAAAGGCATAAACACAAGGACGTGGCCCTGAGGCGCCCCGTTCACGGCCGATGACGAGGCGTCGCCTTTTCAGCTCAGCGCCATTTCGAAAACGGGCTCATCCTTGACCTGGGCCACTTACTGCCCCCGCACAATTCATCGGGGGAACTTATTGTCGCCCGATTGGCCTCCTAAAAAAGGTTTGCTCAGACGGGATGTCGTGTGCACGTCGCTACTCTGTGTTGAAATGTAAATAGTGCCCCCCCCCCAAAAAAAAAAAATGCTGTGCCTGTACGAGACCTGGTCCTTGAACTCCCTCCCCACGGCGACGACTGCTGCAATGTTGTCCAAGTTCAGCTCGGTGTTGGTGTTTACCTCAAACGACCTCGCCAAAGGTCATGTTGGTGTTTGCTGGAGGCTCGCGTGTTTGCCGAGCCGCCTCCAGACAGCAGGAGAAAATGGCCGCCAGGGCCTGCCTGAATTGCACGCGGCCCCGAAAGGTTGTTTGTCCGATTCTGCCGTCCGATTCCGTCATCCGTCCACGGCGGCCTTTTCACGCGGGTCGAGCGGACGCGCTGACGTTGAACCCGCAAGCTAGCAAAACGAGTCAACGACAAGCCAGCGGCTGCCGATCCAAGTGTTCTGCCGAGTATTCTTTTCATGCACTTATATTGTCGCATCTCAGTTGTTCCATCTCCAGAAGAGGCCACGTTTGGCATCGTCATTCACGCTCTTGAGATTTGTTCTCCGGTTTCCGTGGCGTGATTCAAAGTCATCGCGGTGACCAAAAAGCCTCGTTCCCCTTGTTTTCGTGTCGGAGCTGCTAGCAAAAAGGGACGGACGGCGCAAAGGCAGCTGCTGCTTCTTTTTTTGGGGTTGTTTTTTCTTCTGTTGTTGCTCCGTAGAAATTCGAGGACCACAATTTTTGACACTTGTTGCTAAGGCAGGAATCACACGAGGAACTCCTTTTTGTTTTTGCTGAGCAAAATACGGAGGGGAAACTCATTTTGCCCAGTGAGGCACTTGTCGGCGGAGACAATTTGTCAGTCTTGCTCAATTTCGGCCCACAATCGTTGCCCCGTTTGGAGGGGAAGTCCAATCGAAACGGAACGTTAAGAATAATCATGAGTCACTTGTAATGAAAATAAATACATCTTTCTTTATTATTTCTAGCCAGTGAGGCGTTCCCGCATTGACCAAAGGCACACACAAAGACGCGCGCGTGCATGCTTTGTTTCAAAGCAAAACCCACCAAATTATTAAGAGAAAGATTCACACAGTCAACCCCCCGCCCCCCTCCCCCCCCAAAATATTGCTAATGAATTACGATCGTGGACGGACACGGAGTGAAGTTTAAACGTTGGTTATTTCACACATTCCTTCACCTTGAACAATGCTCACGTCTTAGTGCTCGCCTCATTTGACAACATACGCACACCGGCCGCGCAACAACCCTTTTAGCCTGATCTGGACTTCAAGATTTTTCCACCAATAACAAACGTGTCCGTTGATATTTTAGCCGCAGCTGCCACGTAGCTATAAACATAGTGTCGATAAACTAGCCGGATAACGGTGAGATAGCTCAGAAATGTGGCACAAACCAGATGATGCTAATAGATTAGCGAACTGGCGAACATCCCTTTTTTTTCCCCCTCTCAACTGTATCTTCTAACTGATGATAAAAAAAACATCCGAGCCATCAATAAATGGCTTCCTTAGCTGCTCGGTTAGCATGCGAGCTCAATTTGCCAAGCCTTGACATGTTGCTAGTCAACAAAAGATTTGCTCAACATCTCCTCAGCTCAGGTGGCTAACAGCTAACATGTAGCATGTCATTTCAACAGTACAAATCATCAACGCCAATAGATTAGCAACATGGCAAAGAACGTTCATTTTTGTTTAGCGGTAGCTGCCTAGCCACAAACTTATCACTAGCTCGTTGGCAAGCATGTTAGCAAACAACGAAGAGCTTTTCTCACCGGTCGTGTTTAAACACCACCCACAGTACAGCTGAAAGGACGCTCGCGGCTGACGGCGGTGCGCGCAAACTCCTTTCAAGCGTCACGGCGACGATGCTGGAGTGTATTGATGGAAACGTCCATTTAGTGCATACACACATTTGCTCTCTCACTACTCACGCACACCATCTTTCCCACGAAAAACAAGACAAAAAAAAAAACAGAGTGCTGTTAGAGTGCTGGTCTATGGTCTTTGATGGGCCAAGGTCCGAGCGGTCCCGGCTTCTACGGTTCCTCGTCCAATTTTCTGAAGATGCGTTTGCTGGTTCCGATTCTGGTCCTGGCGACCGGGTCCACTACTCCCACTTTCAGGTACCGATCTTGCTGACCGAGTCCAGTCCCGGTGCCTTGGCAAATTGTTTCTTCTTAGAGGGCTTGGTTGTGTTTACTGATCTGATTTTCTGATACGAGTCTCGTTGAGCGGTCCGGGTCTGACTTGCCCCCCCTGTTGACTGGAGCCGGCCCTACTCGCTGCTGCACAGAAGAGGTCCCGGTCAGTGGATTTGATTTCATTGTGTTGGTACCGGTCCTGATGACCGGCTCACTACTTGCAGGTCCAGCAAGCTGCTCCCGGTCTTACTTTTCGATCCCAATAATGACAGGCTCGGGTCACGTTGACCGACGGTGGTCCCGGCCGGCGCCGGTGCGACGAGCAGGTATGCTTCCCGCTGACGTCAAGACCGCTCGCGCTTGGGGCGTTAGTGTTGGCGGGCGTTCAAGGCTGAAGCAAACCAAACGAAAGGTGAAAGTGCTCGCTGGTCGCTCGGTGCTGGTTTTGCCATCGGCTGGTGGGCGGTGCACAGTGTAGTCGACATTCAGTGTTGCTCTCCCGCGGGGTTGCAGACGCGCCGGCCGGACTACAGGCGGGGCGCCTCGTTGGGTGCCGACGGCTCCTTTAAGATGGCTTCCTGCGTCACGCTCTCACCGACCTAAAGCACAACAACGGCACGTTTGTTTTTTCTCCCCCAAAGATAAGACTGATGAAAATACAGAAATGATGCTTGTATCCGATTTGTTAAAAGCTACTTTGAAAATCAACTAGGACTTCTCCCAATGCCCCCAAAAAACTCGAGCTCAATGAACGGTGATGAAAAGATACAAAATGAGTTCCGGAGTATTCTCCGTCCATGTTGTCCTTTGACCTCAGAGCGCGTACCTCCGCGATGAGCTGGTGCAGGGCGTCGCCGTCGCCTCGTCCCGCCCCCAGCGCCTCCTCTTCGCCCTCCTCGTCCCGCCTCCTGTCGGGGCGAGCGGGTGGCACCGGGGTGATGTTGATGGACGCCCGGTACACAGCGGGCCCGCGCGGGTGCCCGCCCGCGCCCGGCCCCGGGCCGAGGGGGGGCAGCGAGGAGGCGGCGTGCCGGTCGTCACTCAGCTCCGACTGCAGGAGGAACTGCTCCCTCAGGAGGTCCGACACCTGCGCAAGCACGCCGATTGTGGGTCTGTGTTCCTTCCATGCAAAACGGCAAATGCCAAGGGGGCAAACCGTCACCAAATCTTTGCCCCCCCTCCCTTCCTTTCATCGAGACGAGAGATGGATTTTCCGCAGACTACCCCCCCCCCCCACTTGTTTAACTTCCCTCACGGGATGAACAGTATCAGGGGCGTGGTGCCGAATCCAAAGCGAGCGAGCGCACAGACGACAAGTCAAGAGTGTGTCGAGCGCATCTACTGACCGGCTCCACGGCTCGCAGCGCCGAGCTGGCCGATGCCTCGTCCGTGCCGGCACCCTGGCGGGGAAGAAGGAGGAGGAGGAGCAACGACGCATGCATGAGTTGCGCGGGTGTCCTCGTAGCTGCGCAGGTGCATACCTGTGCGTGCGAGAGAAGGGAGTGTTTACCTTGGGCGGCCCCGCGTCTTGCGTCAGCTCCATCAGTTTGTCCTCCAGCTGTTGTTCCAACGCCAGCAGTTCGTCTCTGACGGCCGACCGCAGAGACTCCAGCTGCTCCACCTCGAGCCTGAGACACGCACGCATAAACGGACAAGCACGTCGTAAAGTGACACACACACCTACGAGACATGACTCACGCAGACGCGCTCGCCCACGCTAAGGCTAAGAGTGAGCGTACCTGTCGGCGGGACTCAGATGTTTGAAGACGAGCGCCTGCTGGCGGACGAGCGACAGCTCCAGTTGGAGCATCTGCGTCCGGAAGGCGGCCAGGCTGCGTCGTTTCTGCCGGAGCTCGTCCAGGTCCTGGAGGGCAAAGGTCAAACGGAGGGGAGGAAAAGGCAAAGGGGTGCGGAAGGGCGGCGTCGCCGCCGCGGGCGCGTACCTGTCGGCGGGGGGCTTCGGGACGCACGTCCGAGGCGTTGACGCGCTGCTGCCGGAAGACAAAAGTTTTCAAGAGATTACGCCTTGGGAACAAAGCCCAACAGGGGGAGATACTGTCGACAATGGACCTATCGAAAGTCCGCACACCCCCTTTCAACACGAGATATATGGGATCAATGAATCAATCGTTTCAAAACGCTAATTGAATTGAAAAAAAGAAAGAAGTGAGAATTGCATAAGTGTGCACACCCTCAGATAATGAGGAAGTGGCTGACTTCCGAACGAACCGGTCGCATTTCAATTGAGCTCAACGTCACACACCCGTCGCCATTTTAAGTACGGGCTTGCTCTCCTTTTTTTGGTCCTGTTTCTCTGGAATAACTTCCCCCCCTCAAAATAGCCGCTAATTGCCAGAATTCCTGCTCCAATTTGGAAATAGTTACGTCTGGCATTTCAATTTCCTTTGGAACGTCACCTAAAACGCACCAGAAAAACGTCCAAGCCGAACGCGAGGACTTTGGAGCAGCAACCAACCTGGTTGAGATTGTGAACGGTCCCCCTGATGTCATGAAGGACCCTCCTCAGCTGCATCTCCGTCCCAGACAACACCTGACCGGAACCCGGACTCGAACCCAAGTGCAGGCCGTTACCGGGACCGAGACCCGGGCCCGGACCCGGGTAGGTTCCCGGGCCGACGCCCAGGTAGGGGCTGTGACCGAGACCGTGACCCAGATGAGGGCCGTTGCCGGCGCCGGGGTAGGGGTAGGGGCCGTGACCCAGGCCGAAACCCGGCCAGGGACCCGGGTGGGGGCTCTGACCCACATTATGATCCGGCTGAGAGCTATTCCCGATACCGTGGTGGGGGCCGGGACCCTGGCCTTGACCCGGGAGTCCGCCACCCCAATGCGCCGCGGGGTCCGGAGCCAACGTGGGGAAGGGGCTGGGGTCATAACCGTGGTAACCCGGGTAAGGCGGGGCCACGAAAGGGTGCGCCGTAGGGTAGTTGCCGCCGTGGTACTGGTGCATGGGGGGAGTTCCCAAAGGGACGTTCCACAGACTGGCGTAGTGGGGCGGCGTCGCCAAAGGAGGCGGGGTGAAGGTGAAGTGGTTGGGATAAGGCTGGAGGAGGTTGGGGAGGCTGGCGTAGGGATGCGGAGACGTGGCGTACAGCAGGGACGGGTTGAAGGCGGGGGCGGATAAAGGGGTCTGCGGTCTGGGGCTCGGGTTCGGGGAGAGGAAGATATCTTGTCCCGGGAACGGGGTCCCGCCCTGCCGATGGTGTCCGAGCGGCTCCCGAGCGGACGAAAGATCCGGGACGCTCTGGCTGATCCAGGGCACCTCGGTGGGGGGGCTGGCATATCTCAGCGAACGGGACGAGCGATTGAGGGGACGCGACGCGGCGGCGGCGGCTCCGTCGTCGGACGCGGCGGCGTTCTGGATCACCAGGGTGGAAATGCAGGTGGGCGAGTCGGCGCGCTCCGGCTCGTCGTCGGGCTCCTGGACGTAGCGGAAGGCGTAGCGGGGCTGACTGCAAAAGGCCCGGTCCGGCCCCAACTGGACCTTGACGGACGAGACCACCTTGGTGGGGGACTGCAGCGAGGATGGGAGGGAAGAGGACCTCTGCAAGGGAAGACCGCTACGAGGACACCTTCGGCTCGAGCGCGGGCCCACCTCACCCAAACGCTGCTTAACGCGACTCAGCGCGCTCAGGACGGGGGAGTCCGAGGCGGGGAGATGGAAAGGGGGAGCCCGGGGTGCCGCGGCTTGAAGACCTGAGGCGTGAGCTGACGGCGTGGGACCCGAGGAAAGCGAACCCGAGTTTGCGGGCGGCGGCTCTGAGGGCGGCGGCTCC